CTTGTCGATGATGCTGCGCGGCGCTGCTTGCCCGCACTGGCATATGATGCGGCTCGCGAAGTTCGCGTTGCGGCCGCAGCTGTGACATCCCCACTTAGGCTCCCTTGGGCCTGGAAGGACATCTGGATCCACCATGAACGCTCCTCCAGGAGCTCACTGCACACTGCGGGTTGAGATCCCGCGAACTGAGTCGTGACGAGCCAAAATGACCCGCAAGTGCGATTACCGCTCTGACGACGGCACTTGCAAGCCCAAAGAACCTGGGCCAGAACGGCTTCCGGGGAGGAGGAGGAGGAGGAGGAGGAGGAGGACGAGGAGGAGGAGGAAGAAGAGGAGGAGGAGGAGCAGCAGGAGGAGGAGGCCGCGCCATATTGGCTGACCCAGGTTTGCGAGGACCTGCGCTGCAGTTTTTGTCCCCTGCATTGCAGGTTTTGGTTTCCTGCGGACCCGGGTCTGGATGGACCCGGGGCAGAATATCCCCGAAGAGAGGTCGAGAGGGGGCGGAAGTCCACACACTGAGAGAGCATCGAAGCGCCGACGTCGGCACCGGAGGCTCCCGCAGGCTGCCAGCGCCTCTGCCAGCATCTTGGCATCGCTCGGACGTGAGCATTTTTCTCTCGGCGAGGGCCATCGAGGAGCATCCTTGATCATTTTCCGAAAAAGCCACGCACGAAACCGAAAAAAACACAGGGAATGGACGTCCGAGCGATGGCGAGGAATCGGGTCCGCCAAGCTTGGCTTGGAACGGGAACGCAGCCTGTCCTTTTTGACCCGGACTCGCTGTCGGTGCCGCCGCGTACTTTGCCACTCGAAGCAGACATCTCTTGCCCGACAGCGCCCGCTGGACAGCGCTTGCCGTTGGGCACCGTGCCTAGTTTTTTTCCGTACCCATTCCGGGCGTGCCACACTGTTGCTAGGGAAACATGCGAGGTCGTCGCCCAATTGCGGGCGCCTCGAGAGAAGAATCGGGGAATCAGTACGGAGGGGGGTCCCCTCGGACCCATGTCTGGCCAAGGTGATTACAGAGTAGGAGCCGGAAAGGGAACTGCTGCAGAGGGACTTGGCATCGCTCGGACGTGTGCATTTTTCTCTCGGCGAGGGCCATCGAGGAGCATCCTTGATCCTTTTGCGAAAAAGCCGCGCACGAAACCATAAAAAAAACAGGGAGTGGACGTCCGAGCGATGGCGAGGGGAAGCAGGGAGGAGGAGGGACGACCAGGGAGGAGGAGGGATGCAGGGAGGAGGGAGGGCCGTGGGCCTCAGGGGGGGGCCACCGCGGCCCTGCCGCCGGCCTCCCCGGGGCCCCGAGGAGGGCGGCCAACGCCGCCCCGCCCCCCCCCCTCTCCGAGGGCATCGGCCCGATCGATTCGGCCGGCTCGATGGCGGTCTCGGCAAGCTTTACGTGGGGGACGTTGTCCCCCTACAGCAGGAGTATTCAGAAATAGGCCACACATAGTATGGGGCTTCGTGGGCCCTGGAAACCACAGGGCCGTTTTTGTTACCGGTGCCGTTCTGCCGTTTCTGTTGCCGGTTCCGACGCCGTTTTTGTAACGGTTCCGTTTTGCTGTTTGTTTGACCGGTTCTGGCTCCGGTTCCAATCCTAGAGCCGTTTTTGTTGCCGTTTTTGGTCGCCGTTTTTTTGCCGCTTCCATTTTGAAGGAACATTTTTCTGGAAACGGTGAAAAAACGGCCCTGCCGTTTCCGGGGCCCACAAAGCGCCCCCCCCCCTCTCCGAGGGCATCGGCCCGATCGATTCGGCCGGCTCGATGGCGGTCTCGGCCAGTTTTACGTCGGGCACGTCGTCCTTCCACAGGAGGAATATTCAAAAATAGGCCAAAAATAGTCTGGGGACGATGTTTGGATTATTTGTTGGTAATTTGTGCACACCTTGTAAGAATTATTCTTCAAAAATCCGCCTGCAGAGGACATGCCCGACCTAAGGCCAGCTCGATCCGGCACGATTTTGGCATTTTGACGATCCGATGCGGACTGGTGTTTGTTTGTCGGGGGCGGAAAGGAGGGGGGGTGATGACTAGGGGGGGGGGGGGACATCATGGGGGCCATGATATCTCCCCAGATCTCATGGCGCGTCTTCTTACTTCAATACGTCCCCGGCCCCCCCCCCTGGGCCGCGCACGAGCCGCTGGCCATGATGTGCGCCCCTTACCACGCCCCCCTCTACTGGCCGCCCCCGAGTTCCGACGCGGACTGGTGCTGATGTTCGCGTGGCGCCGTGTTGTGCATCCAGGCGCGGCCGATCTCATTCGACTCGGGCTCCGTACTGGTGCGGCCTGCTCCCTTGCACGTTCCAGCCCGATCCGGGTTGCCGATTCGATGCTGATTGGCTTTACAGAAGTATCCACAAGGGGAGTTGGATGAGGAAGAAGAAGGACACATGTTACCCAGCGTGGACCCCCAACAGAAAACAAAAGCATTCAACGCAGTGAAAGCCAGCGCAAAGCGGTGCAGAGCAACGAAAACGAAACACTGCACATCGATGCAATGCAATTGAAAGTAGCGCAAGGCAATGCAGAGCAACGCGCAGCAATGCGAAGCAACGCAGGGCACGTCAGAGCCATATGCAGAGCAATGCCTGCGGCGAGGCGGTAGGCGGCGACGGGGCGGCGACGGCGGCCGCATGCGGCCGGAGCGCTACGCAGTCCACAAGTCGGCGGACCCGACGCGCAGGCCCAGACGACGGGCGGCGACGGGTGACGGCGACGGCGACCACATACAGGGGAACGAAGAATGACATAAACATAAAGAAACACTCGGAGGTCCGCGCGGATTTCTCGGATCGGCGCTGGACCTCCTGGCGGCGCCTCCGGCGCCGTCCTTGGCGCACGGAGCGCGCTACGGGGGTGTCCAGCGCCGATCCGAGAAATCCGCGCGGGCCTGCGAGCTTATGTCGTTGTTCGTTCTCCTAACATAGCCGCAAGACCGACGCGCAGGCCCAGACGGCGGGCGACGCATGGGCGGGGACGGGGCTGCGACGGGGCGGCATTGCCGACCACATAGCCGCCAGACCGGCGCGCAGGCCCAGATCCTGAGAGCACAGGTAAGCAAAGTCAGAACCCCTAGCATTGTTTGGGGACGTAGAATCAAACAACTGTGACGCCTTGGATGTGTGTTTTGTCAGCACGCAGGCCCAGAGCTCTCTCGGGCCCGTGCAGAGGGCCGGCTTCTCGTCTGGGATTGTTCCTTGATGACCCAGGAATCCGCAAATGCGGAGGCGTCGAGGGAAATAGTGTTTCGCGAGGATATCATGGCCCCCTCCTCTTCACTCAATGTCCCCTCTGGCCCCCCATCGTCCGCGCACATTCCTCGGGCCATGATGCGGTGACCCCCCTCATCTTAGCCCCCCTCATGTTGGGCGCGCCCAATTATTGTGGAACACCTTCGTCTTCATATGTTGTCGGCGTTGGAGGCCTGTGGAAGAGATTATTCTCGCCGGTAGTTCTGCTGAGATTCATCGGCCGCTGAAAGTGTTGTTTTTGATTCCATAAATGGGCCTCGGTGTTCACTGAGGCTTACATGGGCTTCGTGTCATACCCGGCGCTCCTCCTAAAAATCAGGTTCCTGCTATGTATCACGATGCGCCTTCCTGTCCAGTGGCCTTCGAGCCATCCCGCCACTGTGCCGGAGCTGTGGGTCAGAGTAGAGTTCTCAGGAATGTTTCTTCGGGGCGTTCGCGGGAGCCTCTTGGGAGGAGTTTGGGGGGCTCTTGGGAGTCCCTTGGGAGCCTCTCGGGGGCCTCGTGGGAGCAGTTTGGGGGGCTCTTGGGAGCCTCTTGGGGGGCCTCTCGTGGGCCTCTCGGGGACCTTCTGGGAGCTCCTCGGGGGCCTCTTCGCGGACCTCTTGGGGCCCTCTTCTCGGCCTCGTGGCTCTTGGGGCCTCCTGGTGGGGACCCTCGGGGCCGAGGGCTCGAGATGTTCCCCGTCTGGGCCCCCTTTTGGAGCCGTCTTTGGGCCCTCTTGGGCCGTCTCGGGCGCCTCTTGGGGACCTTTTGGGGGGCCTCTGGGGCCGTCCTGGGGCTCTCTGGGGGCCTCGTTGGCCGTTTTAGAATTCCGGAAATCCGAAGAGGCGAAAAGGCCAAACATTTTTTACGCACGGTAGGAAAATAAGGGGCCTTCTTGTCTTCGGGGTCTCATGGGCCGTGTTGAGGCCATCTTGGGCGTATTGGGCACTTTCCGGGCCTTCTTTGAGGCATCTTCGGCCTTCCATTCCGGGGAATCAATGGAAATCATGCATGGGGGATCCGCAGAAATCCCCCGGAATCCCTGGAAATCCCTGGGAATTCCCAGACTTCCTTGTGAAGTCGGTGGCCCGGGCCCGCAAAGCTTTTTAGCCCTACAGCTCTGACTTTCTCAGGGCTGCATGAGCCTTGGGGCATTCCACTAATGCTGCAGGCACGGTGGCGGAATTAATGGGCCGAACAACACGTGTTGGACTCACGCGCATCGAGAATGCGTGCAATGCCTTCCTGTTGCAACACTTCTGCGGCAGGTTCGCGCCGCGTTGCCGCGGTGGCGGCTCCAGCGCGGGCGTTTTAGATAGAACGCCACCAGTGGCCCGACATCTGCCAATCTCGGACAATCTACGCCACAGTAAAGACGTACGACAAGAAATCTTGCCATAACAAGTTTTGGGACACTCTTTGATGGTCCTAGGGTGCCCCAGAGCTTTCCTGGGTTCTTAGCGCCATCAGAGGATAAGAAATTGCCGCGGGGCCCTGCTGGCAGGACGATTTCTTCTTTGGTGTGCCTACTGTATCGCAGAGCCGCGATTCTTCAAGTTTGAGCGATGCACTTGAAGTCAGAAACCTTTGCCGACGCCATTTCGACACAAACCTGTGGTATTCCTATCGCCTTCGCAGCTTTCAGCGTCAACACACTTCTCCCAGCCGACGGGTACTCCGAAGTGTTCCATCAGGATGGCGACGACGGCGACGACCGACCGAGACGAAGCCTCGCTGGTTGCGCCCGCGCGCGCGGGCCCAGGTCTACTGCATCGGCGTTGGCCTTGGCAGCCCGGAGCTGCGGGCCCTGAAGGACCTCTGCGGCCAATTGCGGCGTCCCAGATCTCCGACGAGATGACTCTTGTCCCTCGCGGCCTTTTCCTCAATTTCGGCCCCCACGGACCTTGCCCCTGTGTTTCTGTTAGATTCTGGCCTCCAGATGCTGCTTTCTGGCCCCGGGGCCGTCAAGAGCGGATCCCGCACGAGGATAGAGGCTTCCCAGATGGGGCCCGAGTAGTTCGATGGAGTCGGAGGATCGCGCGGCATCGCCGATGGATCGGCGAACTGGTGATGCGGTTCGATGTGATGCCCGAGCGTCTCGCAGCGGCGTCGTTGCTGCATCGCCCGGGTGGCCGAGGCATCGACTCTGCGGAGAGAGAAGGCGAAGGACCAGGAAGAGGATATGCGGCCGAGTCTCGTCGGCCTCGCGCCGCTACCTGGGATTCCGATGATTCCGCCAACGTCGCAGCAGGATCGATCAGCACCCTGCCATTGGGAGGGAGGGAGGAGAACGCGGATGGCTAACAATTGGCCTCGGGGTGCGACAGGGAGACGTTATGCATAAGGGAAGGAAATGGAGGAGAAGGAGGAGGAGAAGGAGATGGAAGGAGGTCCTCAGGAGGAGGAGGAGGAGGAGGAGGAGGAGGAGGAGGAGGAGGAGAAGGAGGACGATGGCGAGGACGAGGACGAGGAGGAGGACGAGGACGATGACAAGAAGTTGGAGAAGGAGGAACAGAAGGAGGAGGAGCGAGGAGAGGAGGGAGAGGAGGAAGAGGAGGAGAGGAGGGAGGGAGGGAGGAGGGCCGACGAGATGGAGGGAGAGTCCTCAGGAGGAGGAGGAAGGAGAAGGAGGGGACGAGGAGGAGGAGGAGGAGGAAGAGGACGAGGACACAGAGAAGGAACGGGAGAGGAGGGGCAGGAGGAGGAGGAGGAGGAGGAGGCAAAAGAACCACTTGAGGATGGAGGAGGAGCAGGAGGAGGAGGAGGTGGAGGAGGGGAATGTGGAAGGAAGGAAGGGAAGAAGAGATGAAGGGAGGGAAGGAGGAATGGCGAGGGAGGAAGGAAGGTAGGAAGGAAGGGAGAGAGGAAGGCAGAGGAATGGGAGGAAAGAAGTGAGGAGAAGGAGGAGAAGAGGCGAAGAGGAGGGGGAGGAGAGGAGGACGAAGAGGGAGGAGGGGAGGGGAGGAGGAGGAGGAGGGAGGAGGAGGAGGAGGAGGAGGAGGAGGAGGGGAGGAGACGGAGGAGGAAGGAGGAAGAAAGGATGAGGAGGAGGAAAGAAGGGAAGAGGGAGGGAGGAGGAGGAGGAGGGAGGAGGAGGATGAGGGTGAAGGGAGGAGGCCCTTTTGAGGAGGAGGAGGAGAGATGGGGAGGAGAATGAGGGAGTAGGAGGGAGGGACAATGATGATGATGGATGATGATGATGATGATGATGAGGAGGAGAGAGGAGGAGGAGGAGGAGGAGGAGGAAGGATGAGGATGAGGATGAAGGAATGGGGTATGATGAGAGGAGGAGGAAGGAGGATGGGATAGAGGATGAGGAAGAGGATGAGGATGAGGATGAGGATGAGTGATGCAGGTATGAGGTGAGGATGAGGATGAGGATGATGATGGATGATGAATGATATGATGATGATAGATGATGATGATGATGATAGTGATGATGATGATAGTGAGATGATGATGATGCTGATGATGACGCTGATGCTGATGATGATGACGATGAGGATGATGATGATGATGATGATGATGATGATGATGATGATGATGATAGATGATGATGATGATGATGATGATGATGATGATGATGATGATGATGATGATGATGATGATGATGAGGCGGAGGATGAGGAGGAGTAGGAGGAGGAGGAGGAGGAGGTAGAGGGAGGAGGAGGAATCGACGGAGGAGAGTAGGAGGAGGAGGAGGCGGGGGAAGGAGGAGGAGGAGGTGAGGATGAGGATGAGGAGGAGGAGGAGGAGATATTGAGGAGGAGGATGAAGAAGAGGAGGAGGAAGAGGAAGAGGAGGAGGAGAAGGAGGAGGAGGAGGAGGAGGAGTCGGGGGAGGAGGAGGAGGAGGAGGAGGACGAGGACGTAGAGGAGGAGGAGGAGGAGGAGGAGGAGGAGGAGGAGGAGGAGAGGAGGAGGGCCCTCACCAGGTGGATGAGATGGAGGGAGCCGAGGTCCGCTGCCGCCCCCCCCCCCCAACCGCCGAGCAGCCGACGACTGCCCTGCGAGGCCGGGCGGCGCGGAGCTGACGGGCCCCGCCTTGAGCGCCCAGCGGCCGGCCCCTCTCGGCCCCACCCGGAATGCCGTGGCGATGGTGTGGCACCGCAGGGCCGCATCCCCAGAGCGGCGGGTTCCTCCTCCTCCTCCTCTTCCTCCTCCTCCTCCTCCTCCTCCTCCTCCTCCTCCTCCTCCTCCTCCTCGTTCACATCCAACGGGCGACGAGCATATCCACATCCATGCCGCCCTCGTGGTCATGGCACCGAGGCGGATGCGTGCGCGATCCCATGGGTTACGTTCCGCGCTGGACATCTGCGCAGAGCCGCGCGGTATCCGCGGGGTCGCCTCCGAGAAGTCTGGGCCGCGAAGCTGTCCTCGCTGGGCGAAAAGTTGGCCCAGGGGGAACGATCCAGACCTCCGGGGCACACGCATCAACCAAAATGGGAGCAGAGCAGGAAGCCTCGGTGCCCTGCGCTCGGGCGTGCCCTGGGCGAGGAGTGGCCCCCGAGGCGACGGGCGCGCGAGCCCCGCTCGCAGGTGCGGAGCAGCCCGCCGGGCCTCCGCCGCCGCGGGTCTCTCTCGCGCAGCGCGGGCCCCACGGGGGGGCGGGCCTCGGGCACTGCCCCGGGGGGCAGGTCACCGCCTGCGCGCGGGAGGCACCGCCCGCCAAACCACCCCAGTCCAACCCGAAGGCGAAGGCTTCAACTAGCCCTCCATGTCCAGCGGTGGGGGGTTTCGAGGAACATGGACAAAATCACATACAGTCGGGGCGCTGAAGAAGGAGCCCTTTTCGCTGGGGATGGGCTCGGTGTTCCTTGATTGTTTCAAAGTTTGCCTCGGGTTTTCTTGGGGTTTTCCGTAGGAAATCGAGGTTGAATTTATGGGAAAAAGGGGCCTCTTTCCTTATTCAGGGTTCCTTAGGTCAATGCCTGGACTGTATGGAACCCATCCGTCCCCCCCCCACCCACCCCCGCCCCAACCCGAAGTGCGGGTCTTCGGGTTGGGTTGGGGCGATTGGGTGGGTCGTCAGGAGTGGCCGTGGGCAGGAGCGGCCTTCCCTGAGGTCCTGGCGCCTCAATTTTTTCAAGCTGGGCGTGCTCGCGTGTTCTCTGGTCCCCGGGGGGCGGGTCGGCGCCGGAAGGGGTGCCAGGACGACGCGGCTCGGCGGAGCCCGTCTCTGGACGCCGAGGGCCGTGATCGGGTTTACGAGAGAGCATTGTGCAAGAATCTCTGTCTGAAGCTCTGTCGTCCTGCTCTTCCTCCCTCTTGTGGCCTGGAAGGCCACGTTGCTGCATCAGCCAGGCAAGCATCGACTCAGAGTGTCGCTGCTCGTCCGCGTGCGAAGCCATGGGACGCACCTGGGTTACGAGAGATGCGCCGGAAACGACGCGGCACACGTGACTCAGAAGAACGGTCTGTAGATTATCCAAATTTGTTTTTAGAGAGCACCGTAATCGCATGCGGCAATACCGAGATGCGCGTGCTGTTTCGCAGTTGTTATAGTTTGAAGGCGTTAAACATTTGCCTCGCGTGCACATGTTCCCTCCGCAGCAGAGTCAGCGTTGTCCATTCGATTGTGATGAGTTTAGGGCTTCGCTCGAGCAGATTTGTTCCACGGACTGCGGCACTGCCAGGGACGAGTGTGCAGCGGCACATTACAACAGAGGCTCGTATAATATCAGGCCGTTTTGCATGCAGGAGTTGCGGCCACCACAACGCATGAATCGTTGCAGACGCGCTGATAAACGCGGTATAACCGTTGAAATGTATGCATGCGGTGGCGATGTTCTGCACAGTCACTTCTTGGCGTGCTTAACTCCGTTGCTGACACACAGGCCGCATCGATCCCACTTGGCAGGGAACGTGGTTGATCATGCTGCCGAGGCCGGGCATTAGACAAGATGTCAAACATTGGCGCCCCATATCGATCTTACGCATCACATATCAGATATTTTCCCGCCTACTTGTTGCACGCTTGCAGCCTGATCTGGAAAAAAGCAGACACCCAGGTAGGATTTCGCCCAGGCCGTTCCGTGGACGACGTTTCTGCCGTTTTGGAAGACGTCTGTTCGAAAGCTTGGGAGTGGCAGCTCCCGCTGTGGATCGCTAGCGTTGACACCACATAACCTTTCGACAGGCTGGAGCATCTTTTGCTTTTCCAGGTAATGTCGGAACAGGGAGTTCACGCAGAGTGCGTGCGGCTTTTGTCAGACATATATAGTTTCCAATGGGGGAACGCCAACGGCAGCACAGCGCTCGACATTACCCGCGGCGTCGAACAAGGGGACGTTTGGTCAGCGCTGGTCTTCAACGCCGGCTTAGAGCACGCAGCTCGGAGGTTCAAAGTACGAGTTCAGCATTGTCGCTTCGACGGTTGTGGCGTCGATTTGCTTAGCAACGTACGGTTCGCAGATGACGTTTTGCGTTATGCTCTTTCCGCCGCAGAGGTTATTCGTCTGCTGGACATCCTTTCGGAAGAATTGTATGCGTGCGATTTTTCCCGAAATGCAGACAGCATGCGGACTTGTATTGACGATGATGTTGTTTCCAACGTCGACGAACCTCTCGTTTTGCATTTTGCCAGATGTCACTTGCCTGCCATAACGTCCCAGTTGTTCCACAGGCACATGGGCAAGAACTTCGGAGGCGATTTGCGTTGCAGATCAGTGTACAATGTCAACGATCGCATGGAGTGCCACAAAGCAGTATTTCTGAATAAAGCCATATATTCGCGCCTTCGCTCGGAGTTTTTCGACGCGGTGGTTGCGCCCACTACTGTCGACGGTGTGTCAACGATCGCCCCTATAGCACAGCATCTGTCTAGGATTGTGTTTACTCGTTCACACATCCTCCGTTGGATAGCCCGTTTCAGCATGTTTCCCGGCGAGAGTTGGGAAGACGCGAGGCGACGATGCAAACGAAAAATACGCATTGTTTTGCAAGTTTTCCCAGTGTCAATCAGGCTCATCGTCATGGACCGTTCAACGTGGCGCCTCGTGGCACGGCTTGCCACATGCGGGTCGCAAGAATGGCCCGCGCAAGTTTTACGCTGGCGCCCAGCTGGCCCCCGACGTCGCAGTCGGCCGCGGCGTCGGTAGACAGAAGATGATGTTGATGCGTGTCTGCAACACATGCGCGGCACGAGTCTCATTGATGCCGTACGGAGCCAACAGCTTTTTCCTTGGCAGCCGTCGGACAATTCATTCCTCAATCAGATGTGTTGGCACGCATGCCATGTGATACAATTGTCGCAGACTTTCGTGCATTCGCGCTTCATTGCCGTAGTGTCTCGCGCCCTCCGTCTCCGCTCACGGAGCGAGGGGCCTCCGCCGGCCCGTCGAGCGGATGTGGTTCGATCTGACCCTCGCAGATCGATCCGGCCCGAGCATGGATGCAACAAGGTGGGGTCTGTGGCTCCAGGCGTGAATTTTGGCGATGTTGTACGTTTTTTGGGGAACGTCGGATCCCAGGGTTTGGTGCGGGCAATACTTATATCCATATCCAGTGCGTCGTGGACTTTCTTGGAAGGGGCGCCGCAAGGCCGAGGCGCACTGGACATGGATAAGACCTAGCCTTTTTTCGGGCCAGATCTCAGTTCATATCCAGTGCGCTCCATGTTTTTGGGGAAAAGAGCCCGAAACTCCAAGACGCGCTGGATGTGGATATAGAACGAGGA